GTGGACATTATTGCCGTCAATGATAAGTGTGATTTGTAGAGTGTCTTGTCTAACTGATCTAGTTCTGTGCGTATAAGTCTGATTTTTTCTGAGATAAGAGCTAAGCTAGTTTTGAAAAGAATTCGTTTCGCATTAGAAGAAGTTACAGTAGCAGAGGTGAGTGTAAATGCGATTGGTATTACCCCAGAGTCGCGGCATCTCTTCAGGAAGGTGAGAGACTCGATCAGCTGAGCTTTCTTATCCCGGAGTTTGTTGAAAGATCTTAAAGTTATGTGAAAACCCTCCCCGTAGAGGCGATTAAATTTTGATTTAAAGCTTTCGTGACTGCAGTAATTCATATTCTTAGTTTTTTCGGTAAAGTCACGTTGAAGAGAAACAACAAAATAACAAAATATATATAAAACAATAAAAAATTCTCACGACGTTTCGACCATAACTCAAACGGTCATCATCAGGTGTGTCGGTTTGCATAAATTTATTTTGAAAACTGCATATTTATTTATATATATATAAAAATAACGTTTGCGTCACGCGCAACGATGGCAGTTTGCCAGGACTAGTCCATCTATTTTTTGAAAAGAGGAGGGGGGAGACGAAATTTGTTTTTATGTATGCTGTCTGAAAGGCACTGTAAGCGTGAACAATCAATCAAGAACTGAAATGATTTATCAAATCTTTCCAATGATTGCTAAGATAGAATCCATCTTCTCGGTTGAAATTGTCTCTGTGTTTGTATATGTGGATAGCCTCATGAACGAATCTCTCATGGAAGCCAGATGGCTTACAAAGAACCTCCGTCTTGGAAAAGTCAATGGCATGTGAGCCTACTGAATTAGAACAATGATCTGCTACGGCCGAGGTGTTGGTCCTACCGTGTTTAAGGTCTGCTTTATGTTCACGAATGCGGTCCGAGATATGGCGTTTGGTTTCTCCAATGTAACTACTACCACAGAGGCAACTTAGTTTGTAGACACCAGGGTATTGTATGTCCGGAATCACATCTTTTACAGACGGAACCAGATCACGGATTTTATGTAATGTGTTGAAACGGACCTGGATCTTGTGTTTATTCATCTGGCCACATGGCCGGCCTGCTCTAGACAAATTCTTCGACCACATCAATTCCATACACCCAGCCATCAGATTTACCATGGAAGTCGAAATAGATGGCAAGATACCTTTTTTGGATGTCCTAATTAAAAAGAGACCTGATGGTTCAATGAGCCACTCTGTCTACAGGAAAGCTACCCATACGGATGCTTATCTGAAACCGGATTCCCACCACCATCCATCACAGAAGAATTCTCTCATCAAGACTCTGTATCATAGAGCCCAATGCATATCCGACCAGGAACACATAAGCAGTGAACTCAAGCACGTACACCAAGCTCTTAGGGCTAATGGTTACTCCGACTATACAATCCGCAAAGCTATCACTCAAACCATGAAGAAGAACCCTCTTGAGGAGCCTTTCAAAACCATCACTTTACCCTACATTGCTGGGATCACAAAAAAGATCTCCAAAATCTTGAATAAACACAAGATCCAGGTCCGTTTCAACACATTACATAAAATCCGTGATCTGGTTCCGTCTGTAAAAGATGTGATTCCGGACATACAATACCCTGGTGTCTACAAACTAAGTTGCCTCTGTGGTAGTAGTTACATTGGAGAAACCAAACGCCATATCTCGGACCGCATTCGTGAACATAAAGCAGACCTTAAACACGGTAGGACCAACACCTCGGCCGTAGCAGATCATTGTTCTAATTCAGTAGGCTCACATGCCATTGACTTTTCCAAGACGGAGGTTCTTTGTAAGCCATCTGGCTTCCATGAGAGATTCGTTCATGAGGCTATCCACATATACAAACACAGAGACAATTTCAACCGAGAAGATGGATTCTATCTTAGCAATCATTGGAAAGATTTGATAAATCATTTCAGTTCTTGATTGATTGTTCACGCTTACAGTGCCTTTCAGACAGCATACATAAAAACAAATTTCGTCTCCCCCCTCCTCTTTTCAAAAAATAGATGGACTAGTCCTGGCAAACTGCCATCGTTGCGCGTGACGCAAACGTTATTTTTATATATATAAATAAATATGCAGTTTTCAAAATAAATTTATGCAAACCGACACACCTGATGATGACCGTTTGAGTTATGGTCGAAACGTCGTGAGAATTTTTTATTGTTTTATATATATTTTGTTATTTTGTTGTTTCTCTTCAACGTGACTTTACCGAAAAAACTAAGAATATGAATTACTGCAGTCACGAAAGCTTTAAATCAAAATTTAATCGCCTCTACGGGGAGGGTTTTCACATAACTTTAAGATCTTTCAACAAACTCCGGGATAAGAAAGCTCAGCTGATCGAGTCTCTCACCTTCCTGAAGAGATGCCGCGACTCTGGGGTAATACCAATCGCATTTACACTCACCTCTGCTACTGTAACTTCTTCTAATGCGAAACGAATTCTTTTCAAAACTAGCTTAGCTCTTATCTCAGAAAAAATCAGACTTATACGCACAGAACTAGATCAGTTAGACAAGACACTCTACAAATCACACTTATCATTGACGGCAATAATGTCCACATCGGATTGGGAACATGTAGACAATATGACTGCCTCTTCAGCTGCTACTATGTCGACCAAATGTAAGGAAAACCTGATTTCCAAATTTAACCTCCTCTTAAACAAAAGACCGGACCCACACACCAAAAAGTTAGACGTTAATAAAGTCGTAATTAATCGCAGTAACAGTTCTATTTCCGATGGTCTGAAATCCGTTTTAGCTAAAGGTCTAAACTTTGCAGTCACACCTAAACACATACCAGTTAATGATATAATTGCCCAAGTAGACGTTGCTCTCAGGGGCCTGGGTCACATCGCTGCAGACGTAGCAAGATCTGAAATCGCTGCAACCCTCAAAAACGCTAAGATGCCAGCTAGCAACCTCAGCAAAGATGAGCGTTTTGAATTATATAAATTAAAAAAGAGGAATGATATTGTAGTTCTCTCAGCTGACAAAGGCAATGCTACTGTTATCATGGATAAAATAGAATACAACAACAAAATTAAAGAATTACTCGACGATGGTAGTTATACAAAAATAAAAAGAGATCCCACCAACAGCCTCGTCACACAAACCAACAAAATAATTTCTGATTCAACCGCATTAATTGATCAATCTAAACAGTTTTCGTTGAAACCTTCTGCTGCCAGGCCACCAAGATTATACGGCTTACCAAAAATACATAAAGTTGATACACCTCTTCGTCCCATAGTCTCTACTATCAGCTCCCCCACCTACAAACTAGCTCGTTTTTTGTCTGAAATCCTGCGTCCTTTCACTGGAAAGACCACCTCTGCGGTACAAAATTCTACTCACCTGGTATCAACAATCAAGGGTATTTCCCTGTCCCCAGACGACCTGCTTGTCAGTTTTGATGTAGTTTCCTTATTCACCAAGGTTCCTGTACCTGACACCATTGCAATCATTGAAGACTTGGTTCATCAAGGACTAAACACTGAGGTACCCCCCCTGGTGAGACACTGTTTAACCAATACATACTTCACTTGGAATGGAACTTTCTACAAACAAACTGAGGGCACCCCAATGGGCTCCCCCCTTTCTCCAGTTATAGCTAACATTTTCATGGAGAAATTTGAGACTGACGCCATCCAGACTGCCACTCTGCGCCCAACCTTATGGAAGAGGTACATGGATGACACTTTTGTCATCTGGCCACATGGCCGGCCTGCTCTAGACAAATTCTTCGACCACATCAATTCCATACACCCAGCCATCAGATTTACCATGGAAGTCGAAATAGATGGCAAGATACCTTTTTTGGATGTCCTAATTAAAAAGAGACCTGATGGTTCAATGAGCCACTCTGTCTACAGGAAAGCTACCCATACGGATGCTTATCTGAAACCGGATTCCCACCACCATCCATCACAGAAGAATTCTCTCATCAAGACTCTGTATCATAGAGCCCAATGCATATCCGACCAGGAACACATAAGCAGTGAACTCAAGCACGTACACCAAGCTCTTAGGGCTAATGGTTACTCCGACTATACAATCCGCAAAGCTATCACTCAAACCATGAAGAAGAACCCTCTTGAGGAGCCTTTCAAAACCATCACTTTACCCTACATTGCTGGGATCACAAAAAAGATCTCCAAAATCTTGAATAAACACAAGATCCAGGTCCGTTTCAACACATTACATAAAATCCGTGATCTGGTTCCGTCTGTAAAAGATGTGATTCCGGACATACAATACCCTGGTGTCTACAAACTAAGTTGCCTCTGTGGTAGTAGTTACATTGGAGAAACCAAACGCCATATCTCGGACCGCATTCGTGAACATAAAGCAGACCTTAAACACGGTAGGACCAACACCTCGGCCGTAGCAGATCATTGTTCTAATTCAGTAGGCTCACATGCCATTGACTTTTCCAAGACGGAGGTTCTTTGTAAGCCATCTGGCTTCCATGAGAGATTCGTTCATGAGGCTATCCACATATACAAACACAGAGACAATTTCAACCGAGAAGATGGATTCTATCTTAGCAATCATTGGAAAGATTTGATAAATCATTTCAGTTCTTGATTGATTGTTCACGCTTACAGTGCCTTTCAGACAGCATACATAAAAACAAATTTCGTCTCCCCCCTCCTCTTTTCAAAAAATAGATGGACTAGTCCTGGCAAACTGCCATCGTTGCGCGTGACGCAAACGTTATTTTTATATATATAAATAAATATGCAGTTTTCAAAATAAATTTATGCAAACCGACACACCTGATGATGACCGTTTGAGTTATGGTCGAAACGTCGTGAGAATTTTTTATTGTTTTATATATATTTTGTTATTTTGTTGTTTCTCTTCAACGTGACTTTACCGAAAAAACTAAGAATAACAATAACCTTAAAATGAAATAAAACAATACCGTTCCTTATTAAGAAGAAGTCAAATCATACCTTTTTAAAGAACGTATGAAGGCAGTCAAAGTTCCATTGGTTGGCGTACTTTGGGTTGTAGAGCTTAATTGCCTTCTGTGGAACACAATGAACACAAACACATGCGTACACACACAGGCACAGACACAGGCACAAGATCATTGTAACCAATAGCTAATATGCATCATATATCCAGCATATAATACTGATGGTGCGTGTAATGCTATACATCTCATATACTCTCTGATTAATGGAGCGCCCGAGAGCTTATTATGCACGTCTATGGGAGGGGAAATGGAAATTATTCGTGAAATGCAACATGACACATTGCTTTCAAAATTAATTAAAAACAAAGAAGTGTATTTTTATATATATATGAAGTGGAATTTAAATGGAGGCTTGTCTGAATGGGTGGCGTCATGGTTGGAGCCCTTGACTAGCAATTGGCAAGATGGCGAGTTCAAATCCTTTCTCGCGGTCAACTTAGCCCATCATGCCTCCCAAGCTTATAAAACAGATAATGCCCATTTGTAAAAGGGAAAAAAACGATTGCCCCATTGGGACGGTGAACGTTTGGCCCACGTTCGCGCAAAGCTGCCAATCATTGTACGTCAGCATAAGATTTACGCACTTTACAAACTCAAAAGTTTCCCCAACCTCAAACAAGCGTGGGGCAGCAACAACCAACGGAGAAGAGATGCTGGCCGGTGCTCGTTTCATAAAAACAAAAATTAACATGTGCAGCTGCAAAACAATTATGGCGATAAAAAGGGAAATACAGTACCAACAAACAACCCACCCAACCACAGATTCATAGGCATCGAATAAAACGCCAGGATGCGATGCTGCTTAAGATAGTGGGCCCTGGCACGGAGAAAAAAAGACATTGTGTTTTACACAATAAGTGTTTTAATTGCACGTGCGTAATAATAAAAATATGAATGTCCAGCCATTAAATCGGTGAATGAATCGCACAATCAAACTATTTAAACAATGTATGTTTCCAACCTTCGTTACATATTAGAATCAGAATATTTATTTATACTGGAGAAATCCGATGAGGTATAAAGCTATTTTTCACAGATGCCAGGAGGGGTGGGTCAGAATGTTTCAACAACAAATACAAAAACACGATAGGAGTGCAAAGTATAGGAAAGGTAAGCAAATCACACAAAAATAGTCAAATAAAACTAAATAGACCTGGCCACAAATGATAGCTCAACCAAGTGGCTTAGCATGTGTACATGTATAACAGCCAAATAATCGACCCACATGTTTCTAAATATAATAAAGTAAAGAGAGTTAAATCGCCCCCTTGCTCGAATGAGCAACGAGGCAGCTCTCACCTCCACTTGGGAGCCTAAAACTACGCCAGGAGCTAGTTTCTACACACGATCATCGCTGTTGATTTCCCACAAAGTGGTACTTCTTTTATTGACCCCAGTTGAATAACGGACTGATTAAGTCCCCAGCCAGGATTTGGCCAAAGTCCGACTGGAAACGATGATCGTGCGTTGAGTGCTAAAACCGCAGAGCAACTGTGGCCAGGCTAAAAATAACTTCCAAGGGAAAAATCTATCTGTTTATCTGTATGGTAATGATGTTAGTAATACGGAAAGCTATCTGATACAGAACGTTCATCTTGATAGGGTGTCTTAGTTTGTCTTGTAGAGTGGCGGTCAATTCTACTTAATCACAATAATGCAATAACTCCTAAGAACACGAGCGTTCAATAGCATAAAAATTTGTATACAATTGTCAGAGACTAATCCATAATCAATTACGCAATTAATTAGTTTCAAAGATTTCCGACATAGCCACAAAGTTTGGGTAAGCACTGCTAGCAAAGCACTTATATTAAACACACAATATACAAACAATCTTTGTATAACCTACAGAAACTGCTGTAAGTCCAGGAAGGCACCATGATGGGGAAGCGCTGCCCACAAAACACCTGGTCTTATTTGTCTCCTCAAATGGTGATGTTTAAATAATCCACGAGATGAATCGATTGGCGGTGACCCGCGTTCACCATCGTGACCCGGGGGTGCCAACACCTCCATAACTCCGAAACCAGAAGGCCTATGAAGACGGGAGATGTCACCGAGCCCGATACGCACGCCAAATATGGAAATAAAAAACTAACGCAAAACACTCATAAACAAGGGGGGCTGCTGGGGATTTGTGCGTGGCAACGGCTGTTTATTGCTCGTTTTGAAAGTACACCAGGATGCTGGTCTGGTCATTCCCCAGCACGTTCTGCTTCTTACGGGGGTGGCCACCCTTGTCTTTGGGAGCGAGACCACTTGGGAGGCAATGGCGCACCAGGCGCTCTCTTGGTACGGCCGGCGGTCACGGTCGTGCTGGCGGGATCGACATCGTCGTCATCATCGCTCCCAGCGTTGCCCTCTGGCAGGACAGGGCGGTAGTACCAGCGATGCTCCCAGAAAAAAAAACCTTAAACTATGCCCGGCCCACCAATATTTTGCGGTGACCTGGGCTACCGCCAATCGATTCAAATATGCCTTCAAGGCTGAGTCAACTTAGGAGAGGCCCAGGATCAGTTCAGATTTCACTCGCCGTAAATATATTCCAAAGCAGGGAAATTACCTCGGGTCACCTGGCTGGTAGAACACTGCATTAACAAACGCGCTACGACTTCACGCGCAATGATATACACGCACATCGTGTATAGTTATTAAAAATAATTACCGACTATAATCACCCAGAAATGTCTATCCGTCCCGTGCGTGACATCACTCCACATGAGGCCCACCCCTCCCCACGTGACGTCACTCCACATGAGGCCCACCCCCCCCCTTCATTAATATTCATGCCCACATGGAAATTTACACTAACCTCCACATTAGCCATGAGGGGGTGACGTCACTCCACATGCCGCACCCCTCCCCAATAACCATTAGAGGGTGACGTCACTCCACATGGGGCAATCACCCCCTCATTAAAAATCATGAGCAGAACAATTTTTCTATTGAATATTTCCGGTTTACTGCAATATACACCCGTCCTTGGACGGGCAAAAAAGCTAGTAACTCTTATAACAATAAAAAAACAAATATAAATAACCTCGAGTAACAACAACAATACTCGTCTCTGTCATTGATCCAGAAGCTCCAGCGATCGAGATTCCACATTTTCATGTGGGGGACAAAGTTACTATGATAAGGGAGCCGTGGCTGGGAATTGACTATGGTGATTAAAAACTGGCAGCTCTAATTAGGAATGGGCAGTTGCAATAGAAATATACATTAAATGTAATGAGGAACAGACAACCTCGACTGGACACTGGTGGTCTGATTAGGTTTTATTATAAATTATGGGACCAGTGGTTGAGGCTGGGGTTGGGCAAACGAAATTATAGACAAGGGGGTTGTGAAGAGGGATGTGTGGTTGTGATCAGAAATGTGTGGTTGTGAAGAGAGATATACACAGTTGAGATTAAGAATGTTTGTAAATAAGAGCACGTGATTGCGACTAGGGGTTGGGTGATTGCTATGAGGGACGTGCGGTTGTGAGCATTGATGCACGGCTGTGAATAGGGACATGTGGTAAAGATTCAAGATATACGACTGAGATCAGCGATGGCGGATGTCTCGAGTGAAGTGCGGTGGTGATTACAGCCGGGTAGCTGTAATTTGGGATGTGGCTACAGAGGAAGGCTGCTACTGAGCTAGGATGCTGGCTAAGCTGCCATTCCGTTATGACCATCGGTTTGTCTCCACTTTGCAAGACAACTGGAGTGAGTGGAATGGAGCACAGCCACTCGGCTGCGTTGGGGTTTACATGCGCTTCAGAATAATTATAGCCGTCTGATTAAGGCGACACGAGCAGGAGGTCGAGTGTTTTGCGGTCTCCTGTTGCTCCAGGCTTGATGAACTATGCACGAATTTGTGGGAAAGTCAACAGTGCTTGTCCTTTGATTAAACTGGCCCCACCCATGGGAATAGGGAATTTACAGCACTAGCTCTGTTAAGTGCAGCCCAACAGACGGTGCGCGACTGAGGGGAGGGAGCCACGATGACTTTGACAATTCATTGAAACGGGTAACGCACAAGTGGTTCAACTAAGACGTGTTTAAATGTTCTTTGAAGTGAGTGGAAATGCCCAAGCCTCATATAGCCAAACTGTGGCAACCTGCAAGAATCTAAGAGTGGGAGGAAGAATGGCCTCTGGTTTATATCAAAGCAGCACCTTTGAATTTGACCTGATTGTAAGTAAATGGTGCGTTTTCTAAAAATACCATGAGCAATCAGGTTTTATTAATGGGGCAATTTTTGGTAGCATGGCCAAGGGTCAGGAGGTAAAAATGTGCAATTAACTTATTAAATGAATAACTTAGCAACCTATTAGCCTATTACTACAGTTAAGACTGCATGCAATTATGAGTGTTTTGCTGTATAATAGCATGCCAAAGCATGTAATTAATTGCATATATGCATCAGCGTCAGGTCATACGTATTAACATGTTTCGTTTATATCTAAACTTTGATTGCAACATTGGAGGTGGCTGGTTGGCTCATGATTCTAACGCAATGCCAATAACCTGGTTTCGAATTTACTTACTCGTTCAAGTAAGTGAGTTTGTTCGATCAAGTAATACTTGTACATCAGTAGAATGGATTAAATGTATGTTTTTTATTATTATTATTGATTAAATGACATTTAGGATGTGGTGAATGAGAAAGTAAAGTAAGCGACATGTGACTCAAGTCCTCCAACAAGACCATCAATAGTGAACAAAATGCATGAATGACAGTTCACCAACACCTGCGGACTTCTTCAGAGAACCAATTAGATTTAGAATAAAGAAAAGGCAAGTTTCTCATCTACAACAGTATGGCAATTTTATTTCCAATAAGTTCAGCTACTTATTTAATTCTTGAAGGGAAATCCAATGAAAGCTGAATCACCTGAGCCCACTTCCAATCAGAAAGGGGTGATTCGTTGATAGAGTCTAACTCAAAATGGTTGCCCACTTCTAAAATTCGACATTGCTATGGCATTAGCCGGTCTTTCGAGAACAATCTCTGGTAATTTTCCACAAAGCAGTACAATGTTATTGACCCTGAAGGGTT